TGATTAGTTTTTGCCTTTTTCTTTTAATTTTGTAAGGATAATTACAATGATCTTTCTCAGTTTTTGCCTCGTTTAAATTAAAAAATTTAATGTCAGAATAATAGAATCTCCTTATTGGTTTGCGATATTGTGCTTGCCTCTTTTATTTTAATTTTTTTTCCACAATTATTTTAAATTATATTTCATTGATAGAACAAAAAATAATTTGCCTGATTGCCCATCTTCCTAGTATTTTGCTTTTTTGTTTTTATTAATTTTATTTTGAAAAATATCTTCTTCAATTAGGGAACTTTCACATTTTGATGCAAATGTAATAGAAAAACTAATACTCCTTACGTTTTAATTTAAATGAGTTAGTTTGATTCGACACGGAGTATAAAGAAAAAAAGAAAATTTTTAAAACTTGTGATCTTAAAAGCTTAAGGGGTATTTGTATGGTTATAAAAACTTTTCATTAAAGGTAAAATAAAAAATTTAAAGTTAAATTATTTCCACATTTAAAAAATATCTCATTTATTTTGAAACATACTACAAAGGAAATTACTTCCTCTAATTTGAAACTGAGAGAGTATTAGAAAAATAAAGAGCTGGAGCTGAAAAATAAAAAGGAAAAAGTGATGACAGATAACTGGTACTACTAATTGAAGCAGATTGGATTAGATGAAGCATAGTACTTTACGTAAGCAGAGCCCAAAAAGAACCTGCAGCATATATTCACCTATTGCGTACGTAAAGATTTGATCAGAACCTATTATTACTGTACAGCAATACCTATCAAAACTTTGTATCGCGTTGGACTTGGAGTTTTCATATTACACCAGAATTGTACAGTCTTTTAACTACACTTTGGACAACACAACAAGCAAAGAGATACAAAAAATATTAAGAGCATTAATTAATGAATAAGCTTAGCCTGTGCCAAAAATTTAATGTGCTTTGCCTTTGCCCACTGAGATTCAAGTCAAGAGAGAAAGAAGAAGAAGAAGAAGCCAAAGTTAGAAAACTATCTCTGCATATAACCGTTGCTTCAACACGCGTCTCAAAAACTCCGAGCTTTTATTGTCTTCTTAAGTACCAACTTATCTTTGTATTTATCTCTTTTTATTTGGCTTCTTTAGCTTTTCTTAAACTAATCCCTTTCCTCAAAGTTTTCACCCATTACTAGCTACCTAGCTCCCTTCACTGTTTCTTGATTTTCCGGCGAAGGTTACAGCTTGCTGAATGTGTTATCAGTCGCCGGCGGCAAGGTGAATCCATGTCTCAGAAAGCTATGGTTCCCGCCGGCGCCGGCAACAGAAATGGGGGTCAGCTCTATCCTCCACCAGTGGCTTCACATGAGAACATTGTCAATGACTCAACTCTATTCAAAGAGTGTCTCAAGAATTTCCACTCTCTCATGGGTACAAAGTACACGTAAGCAACTTACAGTATATTTAATTTACTGGTGTAATTTTTTGTTACATTCTTACTCTAAGAAATTACCGTGATTGAAGTTTTCGGGTTTGATAGAATCAATTTTCTGGACCAAATCCTATATATATATATATATATATATATATATATATATATATAAGCGCGCCAAAAGTAAATAGAGTTAGATATAAATTAAATCAGAGCTACATGGTTTAAATTTTGGTTGGGCCACCTAAATAGAAACTTAAAAATAGAAGGGAAAAGTGATAAGGTGGGAATTAAGGTTGTGTTTATTTAATCCTTGATTTGGTTTTTGTTGAAGGGTTCCTGTGATTGGAGGGAAGGAGCTAGATTTGCATGTTCTCTATGTAGAAGTGACAAAAAGGGGTGGCTTTGACAAGGTTCAGCTTCTACTTAAAATAAAATGTTTCTCTTTATTATATTTTATTTCATTTATAATTTATTTTTGCGTACATATGAATGGTGGTATAGGTTGTGGATGAGAAGAAATGGAGAGAAGTGAGTTCAGTATTCAAGTTTTCTCCAACCACAACTAGTGCTTCATATGCACTGAGGAAACACTATTTCACTTTGCTTCATCGCTTTGAACAACTTTACTTTTTTAGACGTGAAGCTCCCTTGCTTGACAAAACTCCAGGTCAGTAAAATTCTAATGTCTACATTTTTGTATAACTTTTCTAAAGTGACTACCATTTTGGCACCGTAAATTATGATAGACTCAAGGATTAATTTGACCTTTTACTACCAGATGCATTCAATTTCTAGTTTTCCACCTCTCCCCAAGTCCTCTCCTCCGAGGAGTAATTAGAGGAGCTACATTCTGCCACGTGTCATGTGTCATAGACTTCGAGGCATGGCATATAAACTTTAAATGGGAAAATATATAAGATGCATCCTGATATATGACGTGTCGTTGACGTGGAAGCTGACATGGCACACGTGTATATCACCTCAATCATGAAACTGGTAATATAGGGTAGTATTAGTTCTACTAAAAATAAGAATTGGACATAATAGGACGCCTATATATGATGTATTAGTGTAAAACTAATTTTTCCGGACAAATTCAATGTGCATCTTATATATTTTCCCCAACTTTAAATTATTGCTCGAGTTCTGGCGGGCACAAAGTAATATTTTTGCTACTCATCTTGTACTAAAATTGTTTACTAGGAGTCTTTTGATATTCTTTTAAATATTTTTATATTAGAATTATTACAAATACTTCTATGTAGTTTATAAGATTACAAATTTTTATTTCAAAATTCAAGAATGAATGTTTGAATTAAGATCGAAAATATTATATTTAACCCCAGAATTTCAAACTTTACAAATATTTTGCAACGGAAATACATGACAATTGTATTTCAAAATTTGTATTTAATCAACTAATTCTTTAGGACACGTATAGTAATAAGTTTAAAAAAAATTGTTCTTGTTATTATAGGCATGAAGACGATCTTGAATTTCATACATCAAATTATTTTCGTTTATGTTTGTCTTCCCGTCTTTGGCTTGTGGCGCTTTATTCTCGTGGATTTGTACATTTGAGGTGCAGATTTTCTGATCGGCAATTTTCTACTTGTGAAATAGATTTTTTTCTATTTGGGATCCTACTCATGGACTCGACCTTTTTCCCTCTAAGAAAATCCTATTTAACTCGAGTACCTTCCAAGTCAAATCAACCCTTCGATATTTAACTTTGTAATGGTATAAATAGGAGTTATGTTTCATAATATCTTGCTTTTATCTTGGTGTATCTATGTCGAACATGTGTAATATAGGTGTGAATACATTCGGTTAGAGACGAATCCTAAAATTCAAACGTCATGGTTTCAACCGTTATTGTCCTTTTAAAATCATGAGTTTAGAATTTGTTAACTTATTAAAATTTCATTAATTTTTCATATATATTTGGTATGATGGATAAGCAAAAATAAACCTGATATAGAAATTTAGTATCGCCTTATCCCTTGTTTGGTTACTAATTTGGGATAAGACCGGGATAACTTATACCTGCCAGATGGTGGAATACTAATCCCAGGACAAGTTATCCCAGGATAAAGAAATAATATCAGGATAACTAATCCCAGCATAACTAATGACAATATAACTAATCCCATAATAAATAATCTCCGCATAACTTGTCTTCGATCCAAAGGACTCCTAATAGTATTTGCGGGTGTAGATTCAAAATTTTACAATCCCCTTCCTTGATCTTTCGAATTAATAGAATATACCTTGTTTTTTTGGGGTAAAATGTTACTATTACAATATTCAATGGGTGGATCACATTGGATATTTTTCTTGTGTATTTAGTTTCACAGAGTTTCCAAGCTGAAGGGACAATTGATGGCAAATTTGACTGTGGTTATTTGGTGTCAATCAAAATGGGATCTGAGGTTCTCAATGGAGTCCTTTACCATCCAAACCAACCTGCTGCTCCCTCTTCTTCTAAAGCAACTGCACAAAATTGCACTGCAATTGTACCTTACAATCCACCACCCCACCAACATTCAGGACGGAGGAACAGGAGGAGAAAGGGAGGAGATCCTAATCGCCCGAAACCTAATAGGAGTGGATACAACTTCTTCTTTGCTGAAAAACATTCCATGCTCAAATCTCTCTATCCAAGTAGAGAGAGGGAATTCACAAAGATGATTGGAGAATCTTGGAACAATCTCTCTCCTGAAGAAAAAATGGTAAGCATAATCAAACTCGATCATTCTGTACTATGAGGATTCACTTAAATTGAGAATCAGTTGGATTCGTACAACCAACCTCAACTTGTTTGGGATTGAGGCTTAGTTGCTTTATACTCAAACTCGATCATTAAAGCAAAATTAGATTACATAGGGACGTTGAGAGAGTTTGATGCTGATTGTTAGTTTTTACAGGTCTATCAAAACTATGGGGTGAAAGACAAGGAAAGGTACCAGAAGGAAATGAAGGAGTATAAAGAAAGAATGCAGATCACATCCTGCTACTAAAGGTGACTGGCAGAAGAAAAGGAGAAGGGAATGTAGTTCATTGTGCATGAGGAGATCAACATGTAAATATTGCATTGCAATGTAGTTCAAAAGTTACAGCTTTTTCGCGGATCAAAACATTGCTCTAGCTGATGTAAACTAGTCCAGAACTATTTCGAAAAATGCAGCTTTTTGCATGTGTTTTCCTAGACTAATCTCATGCTTATAAGATGGTCTTGTTTATCAAACTTCAGGCGTCATAAAATTCTAGACTTCTACAATTTTATCAGAAATATATCTTTTTTGGCATTAGGAAGTAACCGGAGAATCAAACACTGGGACAGCTGATGTCCACAACACTTTGACACTTCTATAAAAGAAAATGGACACTGCCTTTTATCCACAAAAGACAGAGTAAGTAGGATTTAAAGATATTCGAGAATGTGTTTATTTGATAAAACCTTAAGATGTAGGGTAACACTAATTAATCTTTCTGAGAAAAACCAAAAACTTTCTTTTAGGAGAGTTGCTGGGATTGATTCACAACAATTCCAGAATATCGTGATCACATCTCAAATAAACTTCACGATAATCGCCTTGATCTGTTTGTAAACTATCATTATTAAACCCACAAATGTAGCTGTAGAAAGTATAAACTAGTAATCATTATTCAACCCACAGATGGAGATGTAGTTAGTCTAGCCGGAGAACATAAAACTCGCAACATGACAAATAACAGAGCAATACAATCTTTGAAAAACAAATGGTTTCAGCAAGTCTTAGGAGGGAGGGGGTGAGGTCTGCATTTCAACTACCTTCTTCCACGATTCTCTGCTAGATATCTCGTCCCACCACCTTCCCACGTTCTTTATTGAAGTGAAGAACTCTGCTCTGTCTGTCCCGTTCACCAAATATTGGATGTTTGGAAGGTGAGAGAGATCGGCCAATGTGAACTCATCTCCGGCCAAGTACTGACTCTCACCGAGCCTCTTTTCATACACATCAAGCACTTTTTTGAGCTTCTCTTCGTTCTGTCTGATCAGGTTCTCGTCTTGTTTGATCTTCATTCGCGGTGCAAAAGCCAACTGGAATACGAGAATTGAACTTGGCGGATTGAAGCTTTGTCCTTCTGCTTCTATCCATTGATCTATAGATGCTTTCTCTAACGGGTTTGTTCCGTACAGCCCCTTGTTCCCTTGATGTCCATATTTGTCACATATGTACCTATTTATAGATCTGGATTCTGGGTTTACCAAACACAAGACAGAAAATAATGTAAAAAACAAACTCCATACCATTATAATCATCATCAACACGTTATAAGACCTTAATTCCATATTAATAAACATCATGAACAGCAATTAAGACCCAAATTCCACACTAGCATAAGTATCGTGAGCAACAACGAAAGAACTAAATTCCATATATAAGCATTATGAAACAATGTATACACCCAAATTTGCATACTAGTATGTGTAAGCATCATGAACAACAATGCAAGACTGGGTCATTCATACTAGTATAAGCTATACAGGAAGCAAATGTACTGAGTACTTAGAGTTGTTATATTCAAGTTAGAACTAACTTGAAGTAGTTGCAACAGCCTTCGGTGTGTTGCTACAAAGGTTAGAGTTTAATCCTTAAGTTTACACGAGTTCTACAAACTTTATTTTAGCTAAGAGTTTAGAGAGTTTAATGAAATGTTTGGGAAAAATCCTACTGGGTAGTAGGCCGTGATTTTCACCTTGTGAGCCGAGTGTTTTCCATGTAAAAATCACTGTATTCTTTACTTTATGCATTACTTTATTGTAGTATAAAAACACATAAAAGAACCAAATTCTTCAATAAATCAGTGCACGTGAAAATTGGGTACCATACAAAGCACCCTTCTTGTGTGGCATTGAAGTATAAAACATCATTGCTTATTATAATAAGCATCATCAACAACAGTGTAAGACCCAAATTCCATCTTAGTATAACCTAGGGCCTAGGGGTGGCAAAATGGTTAAAAGAAAACAATTAATCACCCATATTATCCACTAATAAATGGGTTGAATAATGAACTTTTTCAAAACGGGTCAAATATGGATAAGAGCCATATTATCCATTTAGAAAATGGATAACCAATGGGTAACCAATGGATAACCAATGAGTCTAACTTTTACATTTATAAAGGCTCAAATTGGGGGTTCCTCAAGTTCGGGAGATTAAGAATTCTCCCAAAAGTGATGATATGCAAGAAGTAATAGAAAATATGGTTACCCATATTATCCGCCAGTTAACCCTTTTTTATCCGTATTAAATATGGGTCGGGTCGGATAATTTATCCGTTTTTTCGTTATCCGTCCTCGACCCGAATCATATCCGGCCGACCCGCCCGTTTGCCACTCCTAGTATAACCATACAAAAAGAACAAGACCCAAATTGTGCACCAGTACATCCTACCATATAATCCAAGATTTCTTGGCAAATGCAGTTTAAAAATCCAAATTTTAGACTGGAACTACCAAGAGAATTTTCCACCCACACTTCCAGGGCTGTATGCTGCAAGTTTGGGAGGACAGGGATATTTTAGAAAATGGGAAAGATAAAGGACTAGAAGTGTAATTACCAAAGAGAGTGATGTTCTCGTCTTGAAAAGCTGGGACTTGTCCAAAGGGCTGTTTAAAATTAGGATAATATAAGAGGTAAATAGAGTAGACAAATTGTTTTTAAAAAAAATGAGTCTAAACACTTACCTGAATTTTGAGATAGTCAGGTTTCTTATGTTCCCCTTTGGCCATATTAACAGGGAGAAGCTGAAAGTGGACATCTTTTTCAAGAAGACAAGCTAGAACTCTTGAGACTGCAGTTGACAAAGTCGGTCCATATACTTTCACTGGAGTAGCCATCTGGAAGTAGTGAGTTTTGTTCCTTCTTTGTTATACTCTTCAGTGGGCTACATTCGTTGCACTTTATCCTTTTCTTTACGAGCATGGTTATGCGGGGCCACCAATTTTAATTTTTTAAAGCGATATAGGTGATAGGTCTGGCTAAAATATTAATGTGATACAACTAACATTGTGGATACATGTTAGTGCTCCTGGTGTCCATTTTTGCAAAGAAAGCTATAGTCAACTTTGTGGCTATGAGCTCACAACGGTAATTGTAAATTTGTATACTAAAATCGACCAAGTCATCGCTGAATATTTAGTAAAGGGTTACCATTAACAACCTTTGTCAATTTTACGAATACTGAGGGGTTGAATGAAATTTCTTCACCTTTAATTAAAGGTCTCGAATTGAGTCATAATTTCTCATCAGAAGGAACTTCCCCTTAAAGTAGACTTATGCGACACGAATTTTAATTAATTAGGACAGTGAATACTCAACCTAACAATATCTTATTACGATGACCTTGGCTATTAGATTAGAAACAAAAATATTGGATCATTGACAGTTGGATTAATACTTCTCGGCCTACACCCTTCTGGAGCATTTGTGGAAAATTGCTCCAGTAATAAACCATCACAACCCTCTTGAATGATCTCTAGTGATCCTCAAATTCAGTGACTTTTTCGATCAATTAAGCACAAAGTGACCAGTTAGAGGGAGCTCTGCTTGAAGACAATGGTGGCAGGGTACTAATGTTGACATCAAGAGGTAGCATACGGTATTGGATATCCAGCTCCCTGAATATTTTTACCATTTCTTCAAGCAGAAGAGCTCTCCTCGCCCATCTCTCTCCCATATCTTGGTGATTCATCGTGTGTGAGGGCCACACTGACCATTTTATTCCGTTCAAGTTCTCCACGTCCCTCATTACAATAATCGGAGCTGGGTGCCAATGATCACTCCTGTTCTCAATATACCTGCCAGTGCAGAAGCCATAACCATAACTAATCAAAAATACAAGAAAATGTAACAACTCCTCATGATCAAGCTAAGAAGAAAGTAAAAAGTACTATCGCTTTGTGCAGTTTACCATTAGCGTGCCAAGCCAATTATATTATAACTAGTTATAACAGCAATCTTGATTCTCATATATCCACCTATAGGATTCTATGGACGAATGAATATGACAAATCAGAGTCCTTTCCGCAATATTATGATGAGCATGTTTTTCTAATGCTTAGCTAAGTGAAAAAGCAAGTGCGACCAGTATAGCTCGAAGTTCCATACATATCTGTAGATATACCTTGTTATTCTCTCTTTCATCATAGCTATCTTTTCCATGGGAGTTGAGATATGAATGCAGAAATCAACTGAATCTCCCATGTCTGGACTGCGGTAATAATTACTTATGGGCTTTGTCGATAGGACACTGTTTGGATATATGATCTTCTGGTTATCATACCTTAGGAAAACTGTTGTCAGTATATTCATCTCTTCAACTACCAACTGAAACACAAGCATCAAAGAAATTCATTAGTATACTTGTTAGAACACAATCAAACATACACTTTGAAACGGAAGAATTTCTTGCCTGAACTCCATCAACTTCAACGCGATCGCCTACATCAAATGGGTGCATCACAAATAAAAAGATGATTGCCTCGAATGTCGTCTTGGCTGAGTTTCCGAAGATGAATACTACCAGAAGCATCTGGGAACTCAGAAAGACCAAGAAATGTGTCGTGGCAACTCTGAGAATAAGGAGCCAGATGACCAATATGATAATTGCAACAAGGACGTTCAAGATTTGATGAAGTTTGTTTACAGCAGTCTTAGTGTCATTCAAAGACAGAGCAAGAGCCCTTCGTTCTCTAAATGCATTAACCTGGAAGAGAAATATAAAGTAAAATGTTATAATCCTATCATACTTGTGCTAATTTAGGATATTTACAAATTTAAATTACAAGAAAGGCCAAATTCCACATCAAGTCTAGGTTTTCCATTACAATCAAAATGTAAGCATTTAAGCTCCCATTCTCGTCGGATAGCAATATTTCAAAATCTTTCATTTATTTTTGGTTTAAATTCGTTGGGCTACATTCAGCTAGAGCACATCTTTTCATAGCTGGGACACTCTTACTTCACATGCTAATCTCCACCAGTGAATGTGAAAGTGAAAAAACAATGCTTTCTTGAAACTAGCAATCTTTCTTCATTTTGTAGCTATGATTGAAATGAATACCAACATTTTTTGTTGGCTACAATTTTAAGATGAGTTCATACTAATTTATCCAAGAAAAAAGGCTGACTATTCATGGACAATTTGCATATTCTGCATCAGCAAATAGCTGAGGACAGAATGTAGGAAAGAAGAGGCAAATTGGCCTTATATACTCACCACCCAGTTTTTTAAAGCCCCTTTACTTATGCCGCTGGTTTCAGTTCCACCTTCAATAAGGCGCATTGTTTTCACAGCCTCATCTTCTCTCATAAAACGCATCAAGTCCTCCAGATAGATGAACCTGATGTATGGCAGTCACAGACCACCAATTAAGTAAACCAATGAGCTTGGAAAACAATAGATTATAGAACAACACAAGAGCTAAGAATATAAAAGAATTATGGGCTATAACTTCTGGTCCAGCTTTCGCTGAAGCGGGCACTTAACCTTATCCTTTTGTATTTTACTAACAACACGATAAGTTTCAGAAATAATAGCAGAGATACTAAATATCAACTGCAGTCATAGGAATTTAAGGGCAACAACTAATTGTTGTTAGCATCAGTAGTCCGAAGAGATAGGTAAGTTACAGTGAAGGAAACTAAACTTGTCTTTTTAAGGAAAAAACTTACTTGGAGCCAGGCTTAGCCACATTGCTAAATATCTTCTTGGCTGCAGCTTTAGCCTTTTTTTCACTAGTGATCTGCACAGCCGATTCATCCTCATGAGTCGACTGTGGTAGCTTCTCATCCAAAGTTGACAGCACACCATTTCGAACCATATTTATCAGCCTTTTCATATTCCAAGCAGAAATGTTCTTCTGATTCAGTCTATGCAAATGATCTATAGTGATTCCTCCCTCCTCTTCTTTCACCTTCTCAGAAATAACCCTCGAAAATGCAGAACTCCTTGGAGTAGACGTAGGAGTCTTGCGTGGTGTTCCAATCGGTCTCTTTGCAAATATGCTCGCCTTTAGATCAGCAGGCAATGTAGCCCCAGCACTCTGAAGTTTCTGCACTTCAGCCATAACCTTCTCTTCCTCCTCCTGCTGATCAATCTCAACCAACGGCGGCCCAGACAACGTCTCAATCACATACTGATTGAACAACGATTCTTGAATCCGGTCAAAGAATGTACTAACATGAAATGACATAGCCAGCACCTTCACAAGAAGTGTTTTCAGCAACCAAATGTATGCACCAACCAAAAGACAAACCCAAATACTTGACACATAAGGTAGAACCTTCCCACCAGTCATTTTATCAACCTTCTTGTCAAAAATACATTGCCAAGCAATCAAAACCAGACTCAACCAAATGCAATTCTGCACTGAATTTCTCAATCCATACACAAAATACAAAACCCTTTTCCTCAACAAAAAGTTACACTCAATCAAGAAAACCACTAACCTTATCCCCCAACCAGAAACCAATCTTCCACAAATCAACACCAAAATCATTACTTCCCATTTCCACAACTCAAGCCCAAAGCCCTTTTTTTCCCTCAATACTTTAAATATAACACCACAAACTAAAGCTGCAATAATTACAACCAAACTCACCAGCTGAAGTACTGTTAATGGACTGAACTTCAGTTTCTTGTATTCCTCAGGCAAATCCTCATCTGAAAAAGCGTCATCTTCTTCGATTTCACTATCTCTTAATAAAGCTCCAGATTTCATTGCAACATTCTGAGACCTCTGATCTTGCTCAGGTGGCTGTGGGTCCAATAGCCTTGATTTGGTCCTACTCACCAAAAGACTAGATTTTTTCCTTAAAGAAGAGATGGAACTGCAGTGTAAAGCTTCTTCCTGGGCCATGTGTAAAGGTGAATGTTGTGAAACTGGTGACTCATTCACTATGTTTAAATCTTTATTACTGTTGTTGCTGTCATTCTTGTTGAAATGGGGTTTGGAAGAAAAGGACATTTCAGTTTCTTTAGGGGTTTTGGGGGATTCTTTGCTATTTATTTTCACAATAGAATCCTTTGGTTCGAATGTACCCATGGCAAGAATGGTTTTTTTTTGAGTTTGGTTCAAGAGAATTTGCTGTTATTATTCAGGGTATGAAGTAGGATCACTACTGTGATGTATTTTGGAGAATTTTTCCATTTAGAGAAGTGGTGTTTAGTTTCAAGAAGTTAATAAAAAGGGGAAGATGATTCTTGGCTTGTTCTGGATGATTTACTACTCATGACCAGAAAGAATATTTACAAAAGTTAAAGAAGAAGGAATACTACTTTAAGGTTTTTCTTTTTAAGGGGGTGATAACTGATAAAAGAACAAGCTAATGACATGTTGAAAGAGTTGGCAGTGAATAAAGCGGATTTTTGTACAGAGGCAAATGTTCTCTTTGTAGTGTTTGAACGAAACGTATTAACTATTATTTCCTCTTTTTTTTTTTGTGGTTTCGAAGATGGAGGAAGATTCTCGAAGAAAAGCAAAAAGCAAAAGATCAGGGAAGATTCCTGGTGTTCAAGACATATCCGGCGTTTGCTTGCTTAAAAGCAACTCATAAACCTTCCAATCCCTTTTCTTGGACTAATAGCCGGTTCTTTTCTTTTTTTCTTGACCAAAAGTTTTTTTTCCAAAGCTAAAGATATAGCTTTCAAAAGGAAAAAATATATCTATTTTTGAATAGGAGTGGAAGTAGAGAATTTGAGAAATAGAAAAGAATAGTTTCTTTCCAAAAGTATTTTTTGAAGTATTTTGAAAAAAATATACTTAGAAGCACTTTTAAAAAAAAAGTCAAATATATCCCTTTACTATGAAAAAAGCATCAAGTTTATCATCCGTTATAGTTTGTGTCTAAAAATACCCTTGCTGTTATACAACTGGATCAGATATACCCCTCCACCATTAAAACTGTCCAAGAT